TCAAAATAATTGAACGTATAGTCATAACAAGTTAATACACAGTCCTAACATCTGGTTATAACTGAAGTGCAGAAGATTCAAACAATAACATTTATATTGTGTTTTTTTTTAAATAATCTGCACTATGCCATACTGGAAATGTAGAAAAATGCATGAAAATGGGAATTTAAAGTGAATTCAAATTTAAGGCCAAAATTGGCATTAAAACTTAAAATCTCTTTGAATTTCCTACATTTCTCACTTTGGTGAATAACCCTCTCTGTGTTTATCGCCAGGAAATGTATGGTACACCTAGATAGAAGACATACATTTTATTGACCTGCTGATAGTATAACTATGGCCCCCTGTAAGGATCAATGATCTTGGGGTGCACAGTATGCGATGTGCCCAGACACCTCATCTTTGAAGGCAGGTTTACTCTGTCTGCAACTCCTGTGTATTATTCCCTTTATAGCTGCCCACCCAACTTACAGATCCAAATTGTCCACAAGGCTCTGGGCAGCAGACAGGATATGGGTGGCATGGGTGGTGGGGATATCATATATGCCCCTTCCTGGCCAGCTCATTCTTATGACATGTTGTCAGTCCTGTTTCTGTGCGCACTCCAAGTTCCCTATGATCCTTCTTTATTACAGAAAAAAAAAAACAGGAAAAAAACATTCTCTCAGCACAGTCCCATTTATCATCCAGTTTCCACATTGTCACATTCACTATTCAATCATGCCCTATGCAATCCAACATCAAAACTAATATATAAAAAGCAATACAGTTGCTTTGAGGAAGCTGGCCTTGTTAATAGCATGCATGGCTGTTAGTTGAACTTGGTCAACAGCCTCTCTCAGCAGACCTCATTTAATTACCTTCATCTGTCATGCACTCTGTCACATACTCCCAACCTGTTACATACCGTCACCCAGTCAAATTCACCCAGCCACACATCCTGTCACTTTCGCCTCACCCATTGAATAACTTATTGAATAATAACCAACTAAGTCGCATTCACCCACCCATTCACATGCCTACCTAAACCTACACTCAACCCGACAGTAACATCTTACCAATCATCCATCTCCCTGTTCATATATCCCTATTCACCTAGTTACAGACACCCAGTCACTTAGCTCCCTGAATCCAACAACTATATTTAACCACCAATGTAGGAAAATTTACTACCAATCCCCCAACCATTTCCTGCATGCATTATGCACAAGCTCACATACACACATTATGTACAGACTTGTTATAGACGCATTATGCACAGGTACACAAAAATTTAATTTTTAGTCACTTATTTACATTTGTAACAAGTCTGCACCTTAAAGCGATATGATAGGCACCAAAACCATACCTTAATGAAGCAGTTTTTTTTGGTGTATATATTATGCCCCCCTAGCCTCACTGCTCAATTCTCTGCCATTTAGGGGTCAATAACTTTGTTTATACAGCGCTAGTTACACCTCCTTGCATGTGACTTGCACATCCTTCCTAAACACTTCCTGAAAAGTTCCTAGATATTCTAGGTCCAGTAAAGAAAAGGGATTTAGCTCATAAATGGCAGAGAATTTAGCAGTGAGACTGCAGGGGCTTGATCTATACGCTAAAACTGCTTAATTAAGCTAAAGTTGTTTTGATGTTTACACTGTCACTTTAAGCCTGGATTGATTTTTGGAGATTGTATTTCCTATAACGTCTTTTATTGTGAAAGGGGCAGGGCATATAAAATAAAAGATGTTTAAAGGGAGAGGAATGAGATGTGGAAAGGAAAGAGCAATGGAGCTACATCCATTTAAAACAATGAAAAGTCCTGCCCTCAGGTGTCAGTGACCCTTGACTCACCCCTTATTGATCAGGAACCTTTAAGGGCTGCAAAAGCAATAAAACATGTGAGAGGATTAAAAGAGACTGTCACTTGGCAGTAGTTGCTGTTGGTAGGGCCGTAGAACAGAGGAAGCAATTAAGTGTATTGTCTAGAAAAGACCAAGTTAAACACGTCAGAATAGAAAGATCTACATATACAAGAAGACAGTTCCACATCTGTCAGTGAATAAAAACAAAGCAAAAACCAAAGTGCAAAATATATTTTAGAACTTTTCAAGGCATTGATCTGAGCTGGACAGGGCCTATTAAATCAGGGCCAGTATTTATTCATTTTCCCCACATGTTGCACTTATAATCAGTATCATATGATACAATCTGTATATATCAGTGTTATAAGCCTCTTACAGTACAGCAGTGTCAGAGAAGGATTAAGATCCCACAGAGCCCTAGGTAAGTTACTGTTTTGTTCCCCCTCAATCTTCTAGGGATGGTGATTATGGCCAGGTTAATTTATGGTACCAGGGCCCCTGTTTAAAGAAGCACTATAGGGTCAGGAACACAAACATGTATTCCTGACCCTATAGGATTAAAACCACCATATAGCCCCCCTGTCTTCCTCATGCCTCCCTACAAATAGTAAAATCTTACTTGTATTCAAGTATGCAGCTACATGCTTTATCCCTTTTTCCTTTAGACCTACCCACTGCCTGCTGACATCAGCAGAAGTGGTAGCCAATCCAATAACAATGCTTCCCCATGGGATTGGCTGAGACTGACAAAGAGGCAAATCAGGAGCAGAGCCAGCTCAATTCAAACAAAGCCCTGGCAAATCAGCATCTCCTCATATAGATTAATTGAAGAAAAAGTTCAGTGGAAAGTTCAGTGTCTGCATGCAGAGGGAGGAGACACTGAATGTTTGGATGCATTTTATGACCCAGGAAGGATCTCTAACAGCCAGCTGAGGAGTGGCCAGTAAAGTTATCACTAGGCTGTAATGTAAACACTGTATTTTCTCTGAAAAGACAGTGTTTACAGCAAAAAGTCTTAAGGGAATGATTCTACTCACCAGAACAAATTCAATAAGCTATATTTGTTCTGGTGACTATAGTGTCCCTTTAAGGCTCAGGCCCAGAGGCAGCCGCCTAAGTTCATCTTATGGTTAATACTGCTCTGAACATTTTCATCTATTATATAGGTAGATGGCCTTGGTACAGCACAGTTACTAAAAGTATTAAGCTAATCGTTGACATGCGATATTATAATTACTGTCTGTAAATTGATATGCAACATCCATTGTGACTACTGCACTTATTCACACAATTATTTGCATAAATACACATGAAATTTAGTTACATGATTGCACACTCATAAAATACTTTCTATACAAGTAAAAATACAGCAAAATAACAAAAAGTACCCTCTACTATCTGTGATCATCTCATCACCCTAACAAATACCTATAGCAGAATGTATTGTTAAATGGCTATTGCTATGGTACAGGGCCATAACTAACAAAAGGACTATCTCAGTGATTTAATATATTTTAAGAAGCTTCACTTACATAATATTCAAATAGCAAAAGATATATCACATTAAAAATATATAAACATACTAAAATATTGCAAAAGTTTAATATTTTCAAAATATTAAATAATTGTAAAAGTCTATCTAAAAAAAGGTTAAACCGTTTGAAAAGCTTATCCAATATTATTAAATTAAGGTCTATATTTGAACAAATGGGTGCTTTGTGTGAATAGTGTCAGCAGGGAAGCATGTGTGCATTTGTTTGTTCTTTGAAAACATGTGTCAAGAGCATTGCATATGCAGAATAAAGTTTTATTTATAACATCAGTTGTGATCTCAGTAAGAACACTTTTTAGTGTATGTAATTGTTTGCAGTGTCACTTGGAATACATGTGTGCATTTCTGACATGTGTTAGTGTACATGTATGTATGTAGTGTCAGTGTAAATATATGTACTGTATATGTTTTCCCGGTGTCATTGTTTATATATACGATTGAAATCTGTGAATTCTCCTTCCCTAGTTTAAATATTGTCATTCCATTGTCACATCTTCCCTATTTTATGTGCCAGTCTGTTATACTCTAAGAATTAAGTCACATGAATTGACCAGCATTTGTTGTGACTGCAACAATATTTACATGCTTTGCAGGTTAAGTCTAGAAAGAGAGATGCAAGGTTGTACTCACGGGAGTTCCTTATACATGGCTGGATTATGCCAGGTGACATACAGTGCATTCAGAAGGTATTCAGTTGCTTAAATTTTTTTTATGATGCAGTGTTATGCTACAATTGTTTAAAGTCTGCTTAAACGGGGGGAGGAGCCTAACACTTGAACAGCACGGACGCCATTCTGCTGGGCTCCAGTGACTTTGGCCCAAAATCGCAAAAAAACTTGATTTTTAGAGAAAAACTGGGAAACTTGTACCTTCTCTCCCTGAAGAAGCGGGCTACCAGCACATGCCTTTCCTGTACAATCTGATGGGCAGGAGAGCTCGCCAATGATCGGGGGCCTACCCTGCCCTCCCGCCTGCTAAAGCCTTCACGCTTGACTGGGCGCCGGTCCTGGAGACATTGGGCCTTCCCCAGCTGCCTGACAAGAATCAACTACACAGCACTGACACAATGGGCCACGATCCCAAAAACCACAAGCGGGTGGGAATAAAGACACTCATGATATTGGGGACCTAATACAATGCTCCACGGCCCAGAGGGCCCCAGCACTCCCAGACTCGGAGGCCTGCTTCACATGCTCCGATTTACCTCCAGAGACAATGGCGGAACCCGCAACACCCATGACACATAGAAACATAGAATGTGACAGCAGATAAGAACCATTCGGCCCATCTAGTCTGCCCAATATTTCAAAATACTCCTGGCCTTATCTTAAGTCTAGGATAGCCTTATGCCTATCCCACGCATGCTTAAACTCTCTCACTGTGTTAGCCTCTACCACTTCAGCTCGATGGCGATTCCATGCATCCACTACCCTCTCAGACACTCTCCGCAACATCATTGGAAGGGAACATGTGGAATCTCACCACAAAAGAAGATTTCCGCAATATCATGTTGGAGATGAGACAGATGTTCACAGCTGATGTAGACCTGCTACGCACCAAAGTTCAGGCGGTGATAGCCCAGATACAGGCCTCCGAGGAGGATGTCACAGACACGAGGTACAGGGTCTCAAAGACTCCAACTACAAACCTCCCATGCTATGATGCTCACTAAGCTAGACCTTCCAGGAGATCGCAAACGGAGAGTTAATTTGAAGATAAGTGAGGTCCCTGACGACATCAGCCCGGCGGAACTACCCCACCACCTCCGGCACCTGTTAACCATTATCTTGCCGCATGCACAGGCCAAAAAACTAATGTATGATGCCTGCACAGACGCCATCTACAGCCACCCGAGATGTGATCAATTTCGAGTCATCCCATATCACGTTCTTCCAGGGTTGAACCAGAAACACGCTGCAATGGAGAAGGTCCTTAGGCCCGATCACCAATCAACTGCATACAGCTGGAGTACATACCTAGGACTCTGACGGTGGTTCAAAATAGTGCCACACTTCCCTCTCTGACAGAAGCTGCCTCCATTCTGAAAGCTCTGGGACTCACACCGCAACCAGAGACCACAGCAGAACCCTCCAGCCAACATATGTGGGACCCTGCAAAGACTGTCAAATTCGCACCACGTAGAGGAGAAAGGCTAGGGGCACCTACCTGAATTACGCCCCAACAATGTGACATCTCCCAAGTTATGTCGCTCTTTCATGCAATTGTGTTTGTTTTAAGTGTCATGTAATTATATTTCATTTTTCTTGTTTCCTTTTCTTTACCTCACTTATGTTTCTGATGTAAAGTTACCTTGTCAGACATACATACATCACAATGTGGGTCTCCTTGCTCTGGCGAGCAATCTGTTCAGTGCCATAAGCACAGGATGCTCAACAACCTCATATCCATGTTTTATAGAAGAAGGTATCTTACAAATGCCCATTTCAGAAGGGCGAAACACGTTGATGGTGTCAGTTGTTCATTCCAGCATCTGGTGACCACACATGAGATTTGGCCTCTCTGCGAGAGATACCCTTGGCGTTCCTCCGGATATAGATCGTAGACAGTCGGCTCAAGTGCACAGAGCAGACGCTGTCTCTTCCCAAGGAACTGGTAACCTTTTAACTGCCTGGCTGACTCAAGTGTACCTTTTGCTGTTTTACTTGTACTTAGAAATAAGCACCACCATTTTATCTTGTAAGAGTTTCTTATTTGGGGGGGTTTTATATAGGCGAAATAAATCTACAGTGTTACACTAAATTATTGTTTCCTTAATTTTAAGGTATATTCATCAAACATCGTGTTACAATACAGAATTGGACACAGTTAAAAGATTTCCCCCTGCATCAATGCTGATGTCTATGCAGTTACATTGATACCCATTTAGGAACTTGGATTTTACAAGTTTTATTGGTAAAACCCTGGTGAATATCTCCCAGGGGAGGATTTACTAAGCACTGACACTGTGGTTTACCATTCCGATTCAAAAACCTGGGAAAGTTTTTTTGTGTTTTTAGCAGCTGATTTATTTTATTCTATTTTATTTACATGCTGTCATTTGTAGTTATTGTATTATTGTTTTCTATGTTATTGCTAGACTTTGTGTTCTCTTTGATTAATTATTTATGTTTTATAGAAGCCCGTGAACACACGCGGTCCAACACACTTTTATACACACTATCAGTGGCGGCAAGTTTACTCGACTTTAGCCTGTGACATCTTCACGCACCTTAGCCACTATAGACTTTGCTTGTTTTTATACCTCAAGTTCCACATACTATGTAAAAATTGTGCACTGTTATCCTATACAACACATATGTTAAACTATGCCTTATGATAAGCCGTACCAGCTGTTGTGGCGATACAAGCCTACTTTGTATACTCTATGCACTGGCGGATCCAGGGGGGGGGCAACGGGGCAATTGCCCCCCCCCCCCGAGAAATCCGCCGGTCTCCCTCTCCCTCCCCTGCCAGCAGCACATGCAGGTGCTAGCCCTGCAATGTGCCTGCGGACCGGAGGGGAGATCAGAGCTCTCCCTCCCCGGTCCGCAGGCACTGTGCTGACAGCCGGCAGGGGAGGGAGAGGGAGGACCCGGGAGCTCAGTCTGCAGCTCCTCCGGGTCCTCCTCTTGCAAGATTTGGAGCGCGGGCTAGAGTTCACTGGGACCACCAGGGAATCACCACTGGGACCACCAGGGATGAAAATATGTCCCCCCTCCTCCTCAATAAAGGTAAGAAGGGAGGGGGGACATAGAATATTTGGTTTTTTTAAATTAAATAAATAAAGATCTATATTTATAAAAAAAAGCCCCCCCTACCCTTAACACACACACACACACATAGCCCCCCAATGCTGCCCCCCATACACACATACTGCCCCCCATGCTGCGCCCCCATACACATACTGCACCTCTATAAGCACACATACTGCCCCCATACACATACTGCCCCTATGCTACCATACATACATACTGTTCTATACATATATACCCCATACATATATTGCCCCCCATACACATATACTGCCCTATACACATACTACCCCCATATACACACACACATATACTGCCCATACATTTGCCCCCTATACACACATATACTGCCCTATAGCCCTCCCATACACATATACTGCCCCCCCATACATATACTGCCCATGTGCTCCCTGCCACATACATACCTACTACCCCCATGCCTTATACACACATACTGCCCCCATACATACATACTGCCCCCATGCTGCCCCCCATACACATACTGCCCCCCCTACACATACTGCCCCATGTTGCCCCCTATACCTGCCATACACACATACTGCCCCCCCATACACACATACTGCCCCCATACACACACATACTGCCCCCATACACACATACTGCCCCCATACACACACACTGCCCCCATACACTGCCGCCCCATACACACACATTGCCCACACATTCACTGCATCCCTGACCTACACTGCCCCCCCTACTCACACACTACAACCTTCACACACACACACACACACACACACACACACTGCTCACACACTGCCCCCCTCACACACACACACACTGCACCCCTTACACATTGCACCACTCACACACACCACTGCTCCTATGCCCTACTACCGCCCCATTTCCAAGCAGACCTCAGGTAAGTTGTCAAACTGTTCTTAAACGGTTTGACTACTTACTCTAGGAGGGGGTCCCGGCACTATTGACACCATAACCACTACACTGAGCTGTAGTAGTTATTGTGTCTGGATTATATATTTAAATAATCTACAAGTGCCCCTCCCGAGATCAGGCTCTGGATCCGCCACTGACTCTATGCACAACCAAAATTAAATAAATAAATAAATTCTGTTTTAACATCTATCTACGTTCAAATAAATAGATACATTCTGTTTTAACATCTATCTATGTTCAATAGATTTTTGACAACATTGCAATTATATTAAACACAAAAACACTGACATATCACAATAATATGCCTCTCTCCAGGGTGTATACTCTATGGTACACTGCTTAACTCTAGTGGAAATACAATACAAACTGTCCAATAGATGGTATTTAACCCCTGCTCGAATGGCAAAAATGTATCCCGAAGAGATTTTTTTTGCTGGAGGTGTGGTCAACCAGAGGCAAATGAAAGACACATTTGGTGGGATTGCCCCATAATTCAATCAGGCTGGCAACAAATACTTTTAAATATTAACAGGCTTCTAGACATACGTCAGAGGTGGACACCGGATATAGTGTTGTTACACCTTAATTTACAATTCATGTCCCAGAATAAAAAATGTTTACTGTTACATATATTGCTAGCGTTTAAATTATCAATAGCCAGAAACTGGAAAACTCCAAGGGTAGAAGCATGACAACATATAAAAGAAGTTGTTATACAACAATGTAAAATGGAGAAAAATATTGCTTCTATATTTTGCATTAATCCCAAAAAATATAAAATGTGAGATGAATGGATTAAAAAGCTATACACTACTCCCTGGAAATATACCACTTAACCGTAATTTTGACTAAATATACAGCGTAGTGTCGATGCACATGGGCGGTCTATGGAAACTGCTACCCTTTACTTGCTATCATCCTTTGAACTGAGTATGTCATCTGTTTGTAATGTCAGTTTTTGCTATTAAGTTTTTGTAATTTGACAATTGCTAAGTAACTAAGAATATTACGGAGAAACGTTGTATTGTATGGTATGTAAGTAATTTATTGTGAAATTCAAAATAAAATACATTAAAAAAAGAAAGAAAAGAAATATCACAATGATATAACTATTTAGATTCTTAACCTAGTACTTTGTTGAAGCAACTGTGGCAGCTGTTACACTCTGAAGTCTCTTTTCTGCAGATGCATTAAGCTCTATCAGGGTGGATGGGGACCATAGGTGGACAGCAATTTTCTGGTCTGGAGATGTTCAATTGAGTTAGGGCTCTAACTGGACCACTTTCATCTGTTAAGGACATTCACAGATGTGTCCCTAAGCCACTGTTGCATGGTTCCGATTGCTCAGTTTGGCTTTTTGGCAAGCTCTAGGAAGAGTCCTAGTTTTTCCAAATTTCTTCCATTTGAGAATTATGGAAGCTGCAGATACCCTTTCATGCAGCCAAAATATTTGTGTAGTCTTCCTTGCATCTGTGCCTTGACATAATCTTTTATTTAAGCATTGCAGGTAGTTCCTTTAACCTTTTGGCTTTCTTTTTTCTCTGATATGCATTTACAACTGTGACACATTCTATAGACAGATGTGTCTGTGCCTTTCCAATTCATGTCCAATCATTTAAATTTGCCACAGGTGGACTCCAACCAAGGTGTAGAAACATCTTAACTATGATCCGGAGAAATTTAATGCATCTGAATTAAATCTCAAGTATTACAACAAAAGGTCTAAATACTTATTGCAATGTGATATTTCATTTTTTTTTCTTTTTAGTAAATTTGAAAAGTTTAAAAAAAATCAATTTTTTGCTTTGCCACTGTGAAAAAGATTTAAATTTTTGTAGCACATGGCTTCAACAATAAAAAAAGTAAAAATAAATAAATATGTAGGGATCTGTCTTCATTCTGAATGCACTGTACATTTAACCTTGCACCTTGTTGATGTCACCACAGCAGCATAATCCAGGTGACTACACATCAGGGTGGATAGTCATTATGGGAAGACAAATGTTCACTCACAGTTACCAAATTGAAAGGCACTTATTAAAATGACAATTGGCTTACTAGAATATTTTTTTCTTTAAAAAAATCTGCTTTGCACATAGATTAAAGCAGCCAGGCCTGGAGGTATTGCGGGACAAATGGAAGAGGTTGTATATTTTTAAATATTTTCAGAGACCCATAGTAACATTTATTTTCCAGTGTCACCGATACGATTTGTCTTTTCAGGTTCAGTATTCCAATGTCTTAAGTCCTATAAGTAACTCCTCAACATGATTATTAGTATCTGTTGGCAGGGGAGTAGTGATTTGTGGCAGAATATC